GTGGCCGCCGGAGGCAGCGGTGGCGGGGCTTGCCGGTGACCGAGCAGGAAGCTGGGCCTGGCAGTGGTGAAGGCTGACAGCGGATCGGGGCTGACAGGTAAGAGGTGTGCAGGAGTGTGACCAGCCCACCTGAGACCCTGTAGAGCCCACCATAGAGAGTATTTTTGTTTGTGTCTCCCATTGAAATAGTTTCCTGTCCTGACAGGATGTGAGTGGAAATCTCTCCAATAGGCACATAGATGGCAATGATAGAAAAAAGAAAAAAAAAAGTCAGCAGCTCTAACCTTTTCACACTGGTCAACTAAATGAAATAAAATGTTTTGGCTAGAGCTTGGCTTTAAATACTAAAAATATACTATTAAAGCTTATCTCCAGGTAACAAAATACCCTTGCAGTGGGAGATACAAGGACTAACTGCTCATTTTTGTATAGGGGACCTTTATAAAGGACTTTTACTTACCTGACTCCTGGTCCGCGAGCGATCGATGCTCATTTCTACAGTTCGTGGACTGTCCCACAGCCTCCTCACATATAATGCATGACTCCTGCAATCGTAGTCTTGGAGTCTGCAAGAGCAGGGATCAGGTAAGTGATAGTCCTTTACTCAGGTCTCCTAGACAAAAAAATGAGCAGTTAACCCTTGCAATGCAAGGGCAGACTCACTGCACAGGTATTTTTTTTTTTTTAAAGGAACTTTCCCAGTTCACATTTCTAGTATTTGCTTTAGAGCCTCTACTCACATGGATTGAAGCATCAGAGCCCACATATCACAACTGTATATGTAATAGATATATACTAATCAGCCACAATTATAGGTATGTGAAAAATCCAACAGCTATGTGAACATTTGTTTCATGTATTTTCTTCTTTTTTATTGTTTCCCTTTATTTCTAACTGGAGGTTTGTGCTGGCAGTTGAGGGTAATTTAACTGAGGTGCATCCTGGAGGACGGACGGTGGTTGGTACGTCTCCGGTGCCTGACACAGGTCAACAATATGCAATATGATATTAAGAATGCAGATTTGAATTAATACGGAAGTGTTTTGCCTTAGAGGGTTTCCCCATATGGTCAATATACATTATGATATGTTACACATATGCCTGAGGTTTTCAAGACAAAAACATTGGGCTAATTATAAAGAGGCAATTTCTTTTGCTCACTTTTTGTTGAAAGCAGCAGAGAAGAGAGAATGAAAGACTATATGGCATGCTTAAATGTGAATTTCAGGCTTGGAGTATTTTGCATACTTAATTAATCAATAGTGCAGCGCTATGAGCCTCACAGTGTCTTTTAACAGAAACCAGTATGTATGGAAAAAGCAATTAATCCGCAAATGTATAATAAAACAATAAAAATATATATAAAATTGTATGGGATGTGTTGCTGTCTTCTTTATACAGTGTGTCAATATGTGTAAACACTATGTAGAAGTGAGAGAAGAGGATAGTATACTGTGTGAACTGTGTGCTTAAACTGAATGTATAAACGTATAATGGATGTGAATCCACCCACAACCCTTTACACAGTGCAACCAGGTAAATACATAAATATCAAAACGTTAGTGTTGGGAAATAAAGTGTAATATATTATATATAATATATAAACGATGTATAATATAAAGTTAATAACAAAAATTGATATAGATGAACATGAAAATGTCCGATATTGTCCTAATCCTGGAGAGACATATTTTAAACTGATGGGGAACCCGGGGGATGTATCTCGGTTGGAGGTGCCGAGGTGAGTTGTTTATCAGAAGAAGAGAAGTTCCCTGTAGGGAATGCACTCACCAGATACCTGGAAAAACAAAAGCCGTCTTTTTTTCCCGGGAAGGAGAAGGAGGTCAATATTCCATCCGCCTCTACAGATAAGATGTTGCGGTCTTCTCCCAGTCTTGGTGTATCAGCAAAGGAACCGTCTACCACCATAGCAAAGGAACCGTATCCACGGCTAAGGTAATGGTTCCTTTGCTGATACACCAAGTAGACATTAGCCATGAGAAAAATGGGAGTTTCACTTGGGCTAGCAACTCTGTGAATTGAAATTAACAGCTTAATGTCTTAAAGCAGAACTCTGGGTAAAAATTTTTAAGTGGGGCTACCCCCGAACTACAAGGGTTAACTGCCCGTTGTGGTCTAGGGAAGAAAATAAAAAAACTTATACTCACCCGATCCTCAGACCTGGCTTGCTCTTAGAGGGTTATTTACAAACGTGTGCAGAGTTTGGAGAAGGCTGGAGTAATGAACAATCTAGGACAACATAGCTGAACTGGAAAGTTTCCACATCAGCTATTTTGGCCTAGATTGTTCACTTCTACTGCCTTCTCCAAACCCTTCACCCTTTTGTGAATAACCCTGTCAGACTGTTTCCTGGAGAACCAAAGAGTTAATGCATAGAAGCCTGTTAATGCAGGAGTCCTAAATGTAAATATATACTCATATATATTTATCTAATGGAAACAGTAACTTACAAATAGCACTAACAATACAGATTAATAATATTGCTCATTAGCCGTATTTGATAAAAATGTCCAATTATAGGCATAGGCTTATGTTTCAGTAGGCTTATACAATTTCTACATTTCAGCCAGTGAGTTTGATATTTTTGCTTTAAATCAAAATCAGATTGTTCTTTTAAGTTTGCCTTTTATTGCTTCAATTTTTACACCGCTCAACATAATCAAGAACAGCATAGATGTCGTTCAAGCAGCCATGGGTATGACATTTACAACAGTTGGTAAAGATTTAAATGTATTATATTATACTGAGCTGTCACCATCTACTCTTGGATGTAAAGGGCACTAAATATTAGCAAGCAGTCATAAAAGTCCCAGATATTTTATCAATTTAATGAACAATATTAGCATTACTAGCTTTGTGTGAAATTTTAAACTTTCTACTCTGTGAGTTAAACTTGAAATAAAACCACAGTTGTATAGGCTTACTTTTATTTTTATTGAATGTATCTACAAAAGGGGTAAAGATATAAATGCTTGGTGCGTAGCTGTGGTAACACTTTATTGTAAATATTCCAGCCTGGCTAAGACTGGTTTATTGTTGACAAGCCATTCTGATACATACAATAAAAGACTTGTCACCATGTCTTTAGAAAAACTCTGTTCTCTTGGATCCTATGTGTGTGCCTCCCATACTTGCCTCCATGAATGTAAATAATGCTGGAGCTTTAATTCCTCTGTGGTTATTTATAAAAGGACATGATAAACCCTGTTTACCAAGATTTTTTTTAAAAATAATAAAAAGAATGAAATAGACCAGGAGTTTCTAAATATTTTAATCTGAGAACCCCTGTATGAAAATTGTTACTGTACTGGACCCAAGAAGATAATTTTTATCAACATGTCATAAAAGCCATACAAAGACAAATACCAACAGCTAAATAATAAAAAAACACACACTAATAGAAATGAATGTAGCTCTGTGTTCAAAATACATCATGGGGGCAAGGAACCACTGCAGAATATTGCCTAAACTGGTGGTATGACTAGCTACCCAAAGCTGCCAACAGAATAATGCCTAAACTGCACTAGCTACCCACAGATACTGCCCTTCACCCCAAGTCAGCCTCAACCCTTCGATAGTTGAAATATTGTTTTTTTAAAGCTTTCTGGCTTGTTATTAAAGACTTCCTTGGATGCTATGGTTGTTTTGTTACAAAATGCCTTTTTAGCTTATTACATTTAAGGATTTCATTAATATGAACTTCCCCACATAGAACAGATTGTGGGTGCAAGCCAAGAGAAATCAAATCTTTCTTTTAGTACTGTAGTAGACATTATTTCCAACTAGTGCTGGGTCTCTTCACTTCATTATCTAGTCTAGTTTAATTGCCTCTGCCCCTTCGCCTCTCGTGCGCTCATGTGTCTGCACTGTCATAGTGTGCAATCACTTGTGGCTGATATGTTGATTTTGTGCTTGGACACAAAGTCAATTGGTGAACCATTCCAGTATGTCCATGGCCCTTTTTGCTTCCGGACCCATATTTATGAAACACTGAAATATAGAAAAAACAATAGTATAAAAGCTAATAATAGTTTTATACTAAAACTTTTTTTAACTATTGGCTATCCATGCTGGACCACTGACTAGAGGTGTCCCTATATGTGCTTCAGGTGCTAGCCTGCCCTGTTGCACATGTCATGTCCGAGAGGGCCAGTATTCAGATGGGACCCATCGTACTCCTGACCGGATTGTACTCATATGTCTGAGAGGGCCTTCACCTCAATGGAGGGAATTTGTGACTGAAAACCTTTAACCTTTGGTAAAGGTGTGTGGTATTTTAGGTGCATGGTCTTTTTTACAAAAAAATTCTGGGTGGTGTTTAAATGATGCAGTATGGTTCTGGGATAATGTAGGTAGCTCCTGAGCAGACTGTCTGATGTAGTCTAATTAACACAACAGAGATATTTTACAGACCCATTCCACAGCATGTGAGCGCTTTTACAAAGCAATTTCAAAAGGAGAACCCAGGCAGGTTTCTAAGTAAGAAATCAAAATTCAAGTGTAAATGGCTTTTGTTTGGCATTTTCAAAGGTAGAGCCCAGGCAGCTTGTGATGATAACTAAAGATGAAAGCGTATTGTGCAAGCTATGACTAGTGGTCCAGACTTGACACCCAATAGTGATTCATATGGTTTTGGCACATATTTTCATTTGCAGATGTAGAAACTTCTCAACTCCTAATACTTGCGTGTGCATAAACGCTGCCTCCTGCCTAGTAAGTACACAGTATTAATTAACTTGTACTAGGCCCCATTTTGAACAGAATCCCCAACAGAAATTAAAAATATAGAATTCAACAACACAGTGTCATTTATGTGCAGAAAAAGCCACCCAGACTATTGTAGTATATGTGCACAGTCCTAACGCACTTGGATGGAGATCCCTTTTGAGCAGGACCCCCAACATCCATATTAAAATCTAGAAATAAACATTACAGTATAAAATACAGAAGAAAAAATAACCCCAAAATATTGTTGTGCCTATGTTTTTAGTCATAAATGTCATGTACTGAGCCCTATTTTAAAAAGGCCCCCAACATCTATTGTAAAATTTAGAAATCAACATTACAGTGTAATTTATTCCTAGAAAAAATACCTCCCAAAAATGTAGTATCTATGTTTTTGTACAAATGTATTTGCACTAGGCCCCAACTTGGACAGGACCCCCAACAACCATTTTTAAAGTGACACTAAACTCCGGAGTTAAGTCTTAAAAATGCATTTAAGGTAACATTAAATTATATCACCCCTCCCCC